CTTATTTTATTTTATTTTTTGGTACTGGCGATAGAACCCAGAGATTTTTACCTTTGAGCTACATCCCCAACCCTTTCATATTTTATTTTGAGACAGGGTCTTGCTAAGTTGCAAACTTGTGATCCTCCTATCTCTGCCTCCTGAGTCACTGGGATTACAGTATGTGCCATGACACATGGCTGGGATTTTTAAAAAAATAAAAAGTCTGTAGTCTATTTAGAATTTCTAGGTTAAATATAAATAGGTTTCTTTACTGCAGGGTTTCCAAGGCCTCTGAGAGGCTAATGTGCCCCTTTGATCTCTGAGAGTGGAATATAGGCAGCTTTTTCCAAATTATTTGATGGAAGAAAGGTTTCTGGGAAAAGATTTTTGGGAACCAACTTACTTGGAGGCAGGAAGTTGGGTGAGAGGATGCCATAAAGCCGGAGTTGTCATTTTGGGTCCTTCTCCAGGTATTTGGCAGCAGGAATAGAAGGGAGGGTGGGGGGTCCTGGAAGCAGTTTTATTGCTGCTGAAAAGCACCACTGTGAACTGAGCACCTATCAGGGGTGTCCCCAAGTGATGGCAGAAGCAGAGGAACCATGACAAACACTTAGCCTCAAACCTCTTTGGAACCTCAGTCTTCTGCTGGATATATTCAGCCAACTTCTGATCTCAGACACCTAATTCTTGTCCCAGCAAAAACAGCAGTCAGAAAAGTGAGGAAGATAGACCTACGGTGTCTGCTCTATGAGTGACCCAGCCTGCCCAAAGTTCACCCCTGCCTCTGCCAATTCTCACCGTGTCCATCAACAATATCTACTGAGCCTGAACTCTGTGGGTCCATGATGAAGTTTAAGATGAGAGGTCTTGTGTTTACAGTTTACAACCTGGGCTCGGGGACAGTGTCAGAAAGACCTCTAGAGAGAGGAGGCTAGGACTGCCCACTGGCCACCAAGAATATAAGGCTGGAGAAAGGATGAATGGGGACCCAGTGAATACTGGGCACCAGGGAGGGTGTTGGGACAGGGATCAGCAGGTGAGATGTGATGACCAGCCAAAGCAAGTTACAATGATGTGCCATCTGTTCCTGGCTGGTGTGCACAGTTAGGGCCTCTGGAAGCATGTAACAGGAAGGGGCCCATGTTGGCGGGGCACAATTAGAAGCAGCAAAAATTGGGACAGAGGCCCAGGAGACCCCCAGTGACCACTTCCCCTCTCTGTTGCAAGTTGGACTTAAGATTATAAAGTTCTTTACACATTATCTGGTGATAGCTGACCCTCCACTAGCTGTATGGGATAGCACTGTCACACACCATGGACATAAAAGGGAAATTTCATTGGAGCTTGCCTTGTAGAAGAACTTCAGGTACCTCTTGCCAAGCACATCAGCTCTCCTGCTGCCAGGGCAAAGTAGATGAGAGTAGAGCAGAGCTGGGGAGCTGGGGAGGTGCCCCCAATCCTAGAGGAGACTCAAGTCCCCTTGAAAGAGTAGATAGCACTGTCTGCAGGTAACAGTCCATGGCTACTTGAGGCAATCAATGGGTTCACTCCATAACATTCTTTTTAAAAATATATTTTAAAATTCATTTTATTGGTGCATTACAATTATTCATACTAGTGGGTTTCATTGTTGCATATTTGGACATGCACATAATATAATTCAGTCAATTGCATTCCCTGTATCAACTATATTCTTTCTATGATAGTTAACATGTGGAGGAGAAGCTGCTATAGGGAATATAAGAACCGCCCTTTTGCCTAGGAAGTTGCCTGTTACAATGCACTCATTTTAATTCAAAATCAATAACTAAATACATTTATGCAAATTTTACTGAATATAATGAAAGTTTAAGTGTTGAGAATTGCTTCAAAAACTCAAGAAGAAAATTAATACATCTTGGCAAACATGAGGGTTCTTGAGGGTTCTTCCTTGTTCTGATTTTTCTAAAAGATCTGGAAGGAGATTCAACCCCTAAAGGGAGCAGTAACAGGGACTTCCTGCAATATTCTCCCATTCGCTACTTGCATTTTTCCTTGCCACCACACTGTGGCGCTGTTGACGGCTGGTTCTGCCCAGTGTAGGAAGCAGTCCATGGGAAAGTTGCCGCTCACAGCTCCTCCTTGGGTTTTCTAAGCTTAGGCAAGGGACCTCCTCAACAGGCTCCCAGGGCTAAGTTCCTGGTGCTAGCCTCAGTCATCTTTCCAGCAACAGAACTCCACGGGCAACATTGAAGAACATCTTTGAAGGCATATTGCCTTCCCAAGGATGACCAAGGTGTCCTTCAGTACCTCTCTCCAGAACAGAAAAAAACATAACAACAATATAATTTTAATCTGCAGCAAACACCCCTCCAACAGAAATCATAATTTAATAACATCCTTTCTTTATGTCAGTGCAAGCCTTTCTGATCCTTCGATCAGATGAGAGGCAGTAGGAGAAATACCAGGAGAAGAAGAAAAGAAGCTGGATAGAGTCAATTAGCATTTACTAGTTCAAGATAACTAGGCATTCAGTTTTCTCACCTATAAAAGTGAATAATGTTAACAGTTACTTCAGAAGAACGCCGTGAGAATTCAAATATGATTCACATGCATCCCTTAGCACAGTGTCATAGGTAACAATTGCAGTAATTATCATTATTTTACTATAATCTATCCCAATACCTGTAGTCATCCCTGCATTTAGAAGTTCCTCAGTAAGTCTTTAATGAATGAATATCATGCCCCTTCATGGTAATGGTCTACACCATGTAGCTCAGTTTCTGCTTTGGGACAGAGGATTTATGTTAGAGAACAACAAAATTCACTCACAGGTGTGTCCTACCTGTGCTTCTCTTTCTAACAGTAAAGACAGAACAGGCTATGAAATAGTCCTGCTGTGAGGTTTCTTGCCTGAATCATTTTTCTGTATAGTTTTAGGGAAAAAAAAATATAAAGAATATGTAAGCTGTTATTTTAAATGAATGTTATGAATATTGATTCAACCTGAGCAAAAAGTAAGTTGAATTTATTAATAATCATTAAGATAAATTTCCAACCTGTATCAGATAAAACTTTGATAATAACATCAACTATAAAGAGATGGGGATCATGGGAGGGCATACAGTATGGGACACAAGTTGTTACAGAAGAGCACTTCTAGCCAATAATTTGAGCACCCTTTATGTGCCCAGCACTGAGGGACAGAGAGGATTTTCCATGAAAGTGAAAGCCTAGCCCCTACCCACCCTGGTGCTCACCCTGGGTGACGTCTCAGAACACACAACTTTGAAAACCTACGTCAAGAGCTGGAAAGCCAGGCTCTCAGGGTGGGAGTGGGTCTGCACCTCCCCTTTGGATGGCAAGATTGAGCAAAGCAGAAAAGTGGACAGAGGCCTCCAAAACCCAAGGAGACATTAGCCAAGAAGTGAGTCAGGAATGAGCAGTGTATCAGGAGACTGTTCTGGTGGAGCCAAGAATCAGTTTGGGAGAAATTTTCTAGAACCGTGTCTTTAAAACGATGGGGAGAGGGGGAGGGATAGACTAAATTGTCTTGATGTCTCATGCATTTGCTTCCACTTAAAAGCAAGTGCAAAAAGAAACATAAAAACAAATGCAAATGTGAGTTTCTATGATGGTTGTTTTTGTTTTTTGAGGGTTTTTTTTTTCCATACTAGGGATTGAACCCAGTATGATTTACCACTGATTTACCACTCAGTTATATCGCCAGCCCTTTTTTATTTTTTATTTTGACAAAGCATGTTACTAAGTTGGCAAGGCTGGCCTTGAACTTTCAGTCTTCCTGCCTCAGACTCCTGAGTCCCTGGGATTGCAGGGATGGACAGCCGCACCAAGCCCCAGGATGCTTTGAGTCCTTGTTTATTCTGAGGGGTGTGGGAGTTGAGGTTGGGGTTCTTGTTCAGCATGGAGGACAGTCCTAGACTTGGGCCTGCAAAAGAACAAGGCAACAAGGTGCAGAAGACTCTTGAGAAACTGAGTTTGCCTCCCCAGCTGGGAGAGAATTGGTCCCTCTGTCTCATAGAGAAGCCTTGCCCACTGTCCAAAGCCTCATGACACTCTGTGAGAGATGCAGCACCCACTGGCTCACTCATTCAGTAAACCAGAGAATTCCTGTGAAGACAAGATGATGTGATTAGTGCTTAGATCACAGATAAGGACTCTGTAGACACACACAGGAAGGGACAACAGGATCAGAGACTTCTAGAAAAAAAAATGACACTTCCTTGGATCTGATAACCACAGGTGATGGGCTTGGTGGCACTTAAACCCAACACAGACCAATTATTTCTGAAATAACAGCTTTCTAAAACCTTGGAAAGGCTACATGTAATTAAGTCCCACCCTGATGAGCCCAGCTTTCTGCCTAATCCCCTCTCGGGTATTCCATAGGCTTGTGCAGCACGTATTACATTGCCTTCGGCTGGGCTAGGCTTTGGGCACACAGAGGTGAAAGAATAGGCACCTCTGTAAAGTGCCATGAAGGAGAAACCCAGGATAGAGGGAGATGGCAAATCCTGGCCCCAAGTGGACACAGAAAGGGATTAGTGGTTGTGTCTCTGCTGGACAGAGGGCTTCAAAAGTGCCAGTGACTCCTGAGTTTGTTGTAATGAAAGATGCACTTCCTTCAACAAAGAGTGATATCCTGTGGGTAACTTGTGATTGCTTCTGGGCTCCTACTGCTAATTCAATAGGCAGTTTCTGAGCCACTTTTAAATGTAAGGCCCAGGAAATAATAAATTTGATCCCCATCTTCAAAGGAAATAACATTATGGGGCATTGTTATATTTGATCTTGCAAATGGTCTGAAAAGTGGTCACTGGGTATTTTTGTCAGTCATACACTGTAAGAGGGATTTTAGGATATATATATTTTCTCATTTGATTCTCATTTCTTACTAATCTTCTGTGAAGGATATTTTTAATGTCTCCACATATGGAAACCATGACCCAACTATTAAGGGGCAAACACAAGATTTTTAACCCAGATTTCCACCTCTGCAAAAGCCTCTGTGGCTTCCCTGCATGATGCTACAATCCCTTCTGAAGATGAGTGTGTCACAAAGAAGTCCCTAACGCAGACGTTTCCTAACTGATATTTTCACTCTTCCCCTTTTTAGAAACGTTTCCCGGGACCCCTCTGCTGAGCCGGTGCACTTCTGACAGTTCGGGCCCCTAAACAGTCTGGAGATTCCTGAGTCCAAGAAAAATAAGAACCAAGCACTAGGGGATCCCTGGCATGGAGGCTTGGAGCTAGGGCCAGTGGAAGGTGCCCATTCTGGATTGCAGAAGGAGGCAGAGCGGGCAGCTCAGCTGCCCTACCCATGGGTGCAGGGGAGAAGGGCCAGGGCCCTCGGAGATCCACAGCACCATAAGCTGGATGGGAAAGGATATCCTCTGAGCCTCTGGGAGTGGCCACACTTGTCCCAAGCAATGGATGGCGTTAGGGAGTGCCCGGAAGCCACCTTGAGGCAAAAAGAGGACCTAATAAATCCTGGTGCTCCAGAGCTCCTGCTGCTGATGTGACTTGTCTACCGTGTCAGGACCTTGCAGACCCCACATAGGGGCCATTCAGTGAGGGTATCACTCTGGGTCCAGCTCCACGCAGCACCATGAACGATAACTTCTGCAGGGCCCTGGTGGACCGGAGGCCCATGGGACCCCCCAGCTGCATGCAACTGGGTGTTGTGCCCCCTCCCAGGCAGGCGCCACTGCCCCCGGCCGAGTCCTTGGGTAACGTACCCTTCCTGCTGTACCCAGGCCATGCGGAGCCACCTTACTACGACGCCTACGCGGGAGTGTTCCCCTACATGTCCTTCCCCGGAGCCTTTGGGGTCTATGACTACCCCTTCGAACCCGCCTTCATCCAGAAGCGCAACGAGCGCGAGCGGCAGCGCGTCAAGTGCGTCAACGAGGGCTACGCGCGCCTCCGCGGCCACCTCCCGGGCGCGCTGGCCGAGAAACGGCTCAGCAAGGTGGAGACGCTGCGCGCCGCCATCCGCTACATCAAGTACTTGCAGGAGCTGCTGAGCGCGGCCCCCGACGGGGCGGCCCCAGCCTCCACCCGCAGCCTCCCGGGCATCGGGCCAGCTGCTCTCCAGCCGGACTGCCCCGGCGACTGCGGGGCCCGGGCGCCCCACTCTCTGGTGCCCGAGTCGAACGAGTCCTCCTGCTTCTCCTCCTCGCCCTTTCTCGAGTCGGAGGAATCCAGCCATTGATCGGACAGTGGCTGCTCCTCCGCAGGCACCATCCCATTCTGGGAAGGTCACCCGCTGTGCCGTCATCCTCGTACCTGCCTCCCCCCTCTCTGCCTCGGCCCGCATTTGGGAAAGTTAGTTGGGGCCAGCTTGTAGCTCTGTGGTCCATACCGCAGCGTAGCCTTGTCTCTGAGAGTGCGCGGGAAGCGAGCCGATTTGAATGCGCCATGCCCCGACCCTCCGCAAGATGGCCTCAGATACTAACGACCGGTTACCACTTGGGAGAGGAACCCAGAGGGAGGGGAGGGAGGCCAGACTGCTTTTGCACTCAGCCTGGATGGAACAGCCAGACTTGGAAGGATGGGATGTGTGTGCACCACGGGTGGCACTCTCTGGCTTCCTTGATGGAGGGCCATCACCCCGCCTCCCCAAATCCTCAGTGTAGCCTTCTCAGGTTTTCCCCAGGTTGAATGAGAACTGCATTTCCCCCCTAAGACTTATAAAACTCTGGGGTCCATTAGCACTGTGTTTGCACCAAAAGGCTAAATAAATGCATTGTTGACTTTTGTGATTCCTGGATCATTGCCTAGACCCACCCCCACCCCCACCCCATGCCCCTTTCTCACTGGCCCACCCAACCCAAAGACCTTACTGTGATGGAGGGCTGAGTTTTCTGCTAGCTCTCACAGTCCATAAACTTTTTCCAGAGATCTTAGTATATGCCAAGAGACTGTGCACAGGAGGGGCCAGAGTCCCAGAGAGAAAACACCCTGGTACAGGTAGGGGTGGGAGAGAGTGGGGAAGAAAGGTAAAAAGCCAGGGTCACTACACAGCGTGCGGGTGCCATACCAAAGGTGTGCCCATTCAAGGTCGTCCCGGAGACGTCTAGCCCAGTGAGGAGGGGTTCAATGTTTCCCTGACAAGAGGCAGGCCTGGTGATGTTGAAGGTGGGTGGAAGGGGTCTTGGCCTGATCCCTGCAGGTCCTGCGATGGGAGTGGAATGCTGGGGAGGATCACGGAGCTAGGCTGCCTACCATTTTCTCAGAACAGTGTCTTGGGACTGGGGTGCGGAAGTCCTAGGGTTGGGGTGGGGAATCCTAATTTTGGTATGACAGGCCATTCTGAAGGGTGACACTCCATGCCCCAGGCTACCCCTCCCTAAACTCTATTGGTCCAGCCTCGAAACCTTCCATCCTGCCTCCCACTGGGCCTGCCCGTCTCAGATCTGTGTATAAATTCCTCCCTTCACCATCCTACCCTCCTGAGAGACTCTCTGGGATGTCACTGGCTGGTCTCGAAGGAATGACAGCTGCCTGGCCTCAGGTTCTCAGGCCAGGCAGCAGGGAGCTGAGTGGAGGCTAATTTTACTCGCTGGGAGCAGGGAGAGAAATCCTCCACCCTCACTCCCGCCCCTGCTTGGCTGGCTCAGCAGGACAGGCTCAGCCAGGCCCAGTCCCCAAGGCGGGGGGCATTGGGGACACAGGGAAGCAGGGAAGAGAGGGCAGTGGGGTGGGGGAGCAGGGAAAGCAAGTTTGCCAGGGAAGCCATGGAGCCCTCTTCACCCCAGGATGAGGGGCCGAAGAAGAAGCAGCCCAAGAAGCCTGTTCCTGAGATTCTGCCCAGGCCACCCCGGGCCTTGTTCTGCCTGACCCTCCAGAACCCCCTGAGGAAGGCCTGTATCAGCATTGTGGAATGGAAGTATCCTTCAAGGCCTCGAGAAGTAGGAAGGGGGTGCATGATGTGGGGGAGGAGTGTGTGGTGGTCACAGAGCTCAAACTTTGAGGGTTAGAGTGACTGGGGACTTGAAATGGGGTAAACTGCCACAGAACAACCTGAGACACCCTTGGGAAGGAAGGTCTCCCCCACACTGGAGAAGAAGGCAGGAGTGGGAGGGCTTCCCACTCAGGTCCTAGATGACAGTCAGAGAGGCTATTGGCGACCCGTGGAGGTGCCTGTTTCATAGGGACTGTGCCAGCTATGCCCAAATCCATACTTGGGACGCTACTTAGAGTTTTGAAATCATTGTCTCATGGTGGATTAAGAAGGTGAGGGGGAGCTACAGTAGCCCCCTTGAGAAAATCCAACCCTCCATGAGAGGGGGAAAGAGAAGATCAGGAGTGGTTGTGGGAAGGCTTCTTCTGGGGCCCAGGCCCAGCTGGGGATGAAGCAGGGAGAAATGGGTTTGAAGGGAGGCCTGCTCTCGGTGCTCCAAGCCTGGCTGCTTCGGCTTAGACATACCACCCCAGGGACAGGGATTTCGAGTCCCTTTCTGCTTACATGAGCTCTGGGAGGAAGAACGCTGAAAATATCTGGACTATTTGGGGAAGGAGGAAGAAGCTGCAGAGAGGAGGGGGCCTGGGTCAAGTGGATTCCTAGGGAGAGGGTCAGGAGAATTTGAAATATTCTGAAGGGCCCTGGAAGTGTAGGCTCCCACCAGCTGTTCCCTGAAGATAGGAGCTTGAGGGACAACTGGAAGGGCAAGAGGGACATGGGGCCAAGTAGATATTTAGAGTGGGGGTCAGCCCTGCTCCCCACAGCTACAGTTGCCCGGCCACGTCAACCCTGGCCTCTCTCTCCCTGCCTGTCTGCTGTCGGAGCAGACTACTGGGCAGCTGCCTCCTTTTCTCCAGCCTTCTTCCTCTGAGCCTTCTCCTTTTGCAGGCCTCTGCCCTGTGTCCCACCTCTCTTCCCCAGAACCACACACCAATGACCCACAATGCTCCTCTTTCACTAACTCTTCCCACACGCTTGCTTCCTAAGGTGTGAAAGTCAAGATAGGCAGGGGCCCAGGCAGACCTCTGCAAATGGCCTGGAGAGTGGGGTGGTTGTGGGGGGTGAAGCATGTGCCCCCTGGTTTGCATGTCTCTGTCTTCCCTCTCTCCAGCCCCTGTTCTGTGGGGGACGTTGTCTGAACCTAGAGCAGCCCCCAGCTTCCCTTGCCATTTCTCTGGATGAGCCCCCACAAGTTGTCAGGACAAAAATCTCAGAAGCCACAGCACTTTGGGGCAGGGGGTGGGCACTGAGGGTGGAACAACCAGAAGACTTTTTAGCCCTTAAAGCTCAGTGACCCTCAGCTGGGCACCAGCCTCTGCAGTCCCTGAGAGTCTAAGTGGAAGTTACCTGTTCCTGATGAGAGGGAACAAGGTCTCCGGGGAACCCGGCTGGAGAGTGGGGAAGGGTCCCCAGGAGCCTGTCCATCCCCCTGGCATTATAACCCTAGTTCAGGCGCTCCTTAACCCTGGCACCAGACCCTTCGAGACCATCATCTTGCTCACCATCTTTGCCAACTGTGTGGCCCTGGCTGTGTACCTGCCCATGCCTGAAGATGACAACAATACTCTGAACCTCGGCCTGGTAAGATGGCCCTCTGTCCCCTTTCCTGCAGACTGCAGTCCCAGGCAGGGTACACCCCCCTGGAGGACTCTGTCCTGGTGGGTCACACCAGTGGTTCAAGATCCTGCAGATGCACTTGGCCTTCCCCACCCCCTGCAGGGCAGCAGGGTAAACTGCTCATCCCAGATTCTGTGACATCATCAGCCTGCACCGAGCAGGGCCTCGCTATGCCCAGAGAACACTCATGACAGCCTCACAACAACCACACTGAGATTGACACCCAATTGACAGAGGTGGAAACTGAGCCTCTATAAGGTCAGCCAGTGAGCCATGGAGGTTGGATGTAATTCCCCTGCCCTGGATATAATCCAGAAGGAATTTGCTTCCATGAGCTTGCCTAATGGGAGTGTTAGACCTAAGAATTTGAAGAAAGAACATGCTTTAAGAGTTCTATAATACCACTGTTTCTCCACCCCTCCCAATGATACAATGAACTGTCCAATTCTAGAGCTGGATGGAATTTTCCAGAATCAGGCCATCCTACCTCCCCCCACCTTACTCTGCTTTCTGCCTGTGAACGCTGAGGCTTATCTCTAAGTTGACGCACTTTCTTACCCAAAAGTCAGCTAATAATAAAGATGGCTCACATTCTTTAAGTGTTTATCAGCTGCCTGACTCTGTGCTAAGTAGTTTATATTATTGCATTTTTTTAATCTTCATAATTACTCTTGTGGAGTAAGTAACATTATTAGGCTTGTTTAAAAGACAAGAAAACTATGGGCTGGGGTTGTGGCTCAGTGGTAGAGAGCCCTCACCTAGCACATGTGAGGCCCTGGGTTCAACCCTCAGCACTACATAAAAATAAATAAATAAAGCTATTGTATCCAACTATGACTAAAATAAATAAGTAAATATTTTTTAAAAATAAATTTAAAAAAAGACAAGAAAACTAGCCTAAGAACATTTAGGTACCTTGTCCAGAGTCACCCCCATCCAAGCCTTGTGGCAGGGCCTCAAACCCAGATTTCTGACTTTGGACTCTGCTCCTATACTGACTGAGTTGCCAAGGTGGAGACAGCAGGAGGACTTCTAGAGAAACCCTCAGGGGCTGGAGGTGGTAAAGTGTAAAGCCTCACCTCACAAGGGTGGGGCCCTGGGTCCCAGGAAGCTGCCATCTCAACGTGGTGTTTCTCTGCACCGAAACTGTAGGGGACAGGAGGGAGGGGCCCATTGGCCTGCATCCTCAGTTTCTCTCTGCCTCTCCTCCTGCTGGTTTCCATGGGAACCTATCTTGAGTTGGGGAGAGGCTGGGATTCTAAATATGTGCTTTCTGTGAGTAGAAAAAACTGAGCCCCTGAAGGTGGAAGAAGAACAGGATTAAAGGAGGCAGGGCCTGTGCAACCTCAGTGGGCGGGGAAGGTCTTGGTGCAGCCGGGTCCTTCCACAAGGTAGACTTAGTTCTCTGTGTGTCTGAATTAAGCAGGACTCTGGGTCCACCGTCCCCTTGGGAAGTCATACTTTTGGGCCTCAGTTCCATGTGCGCTGCTTAAGAAGTCGACTGCTTTTGCAAGAAATTCTGCTCTCCCCAGAGAATGTCAAATTGCACCCTAATGGTTATGTCATCTCCTGTCTTGAAACACCATGAGTTAGGAGTGCAGCTCATAGAAACAGGGTGGTGAGGTCCACGGGAGAGAAAGCTGCCCGGAAGCCTTTCCAGAGCCACAGGCGTCACTTGGCAAGTCAGAGCTCCTGGAGCTGTTAGCCTTCATTGTGAAGCCCAGAGACAGCAGGAGATACTCAAGATCACACAGCCAGCTTCTGCCTGAGGCCTCCTCACTCCCTCTTGTCAATTATTCTTTCATTTCCACAACACCCAGCAAGAGGGACATGAGAGGGGACAGGGCAGAAGAAAGGGAGGTTAGGTTTTTATCTCTCTCTCATCTTGCTGGCCTCTTTGTAGATATCTGAAAAAGGTTGAGGACTTCCTGTTATCCAAAATGACCCATAGCTTTTAAGAGGGGAGACCTAATTCTGCATTAACTTTCTCATTTACTCTACAAATATACATTTAGTACCTCTAATATCCCTGGCACCTACTAGAGATATAACTATGAACCAAATAGACATAGTTTCTATCTTCAAAACTTAATTAACAAAATAAGTTAAACAAGTAATTACAATTAAAACAATTAAAGACGTAGTGAAAATGAAATGGGCAATATGTGAGGTCTGGGGACACTCTGATGGCCTACTGGATACTAGGGGTTGGGGAGGCTTCCCAAAGGATGGGACAGTTAGTCTGAGACCTGAGGGATGAGAATGGGGCCAGCTTTGTGGCCATGTGAACTGTGGAGGGCCCCAGGCTTCAGGCTTAATGCTCTGTAGACATACAATCAAAATTTTAATTAAGTTTATCCTTGAATTTCTATTTTGTAAGTAAAGTCCTTGTAGACAGTAGCACACACTGGGAGCTTGGGACTTGCTCACACTGTGCTCCTGCGTCTTGCCACCTCCCTGCCTCAAAGATAGACTTTCAGCTTGCTTCCTTATGCTCTGGCCCCCTGAACCCCTGGCAGAGACCTGGGTGCAGGAACTAGGGGAGAATCAGGGTTGGGTCCTTTGGTATCTTAAGGAAGGGTAAAACCATGGTTGTCCCTGTAAGATCAGGTGAGGCAGGTAGTAACCAAAGGAGGCAGATTTAAAAAGGAGGCTTTATCGGGATATCACTCCCGGGTGGAATTCAATCAGACCGGCAGAGTGGACGGGAGGAGGATCCGAGGAGAAACCTCGAGGGAGCTTTACCGGACTGGACTTTTATGGGGCTTACAGTAGGAAGGGAAGGGCTTGGGACAGGAAAAGGTATTTTTAGGGTTCCTTGTCCATCTGGAGTTGGTCAGGGGAGCTGGCTAAACTCCAGGATTGGCCAGGGAGTCCTGCTGATTGATAGGCATTAGCCAGGAGATCCTGATGATTGACAGACCTTTCCACTGGCGCCTGATTGATGTTCCTTACCCACACGGGCTGCTTTGTTCTAAGTCACTGCCACCGATCTAACAGTCTCCACCCTAGGGTGACTGTGCCATAGCTCATTCGGTGAGCAGATCTGCCAAGCTGAGCCATCTGCCATTCAAGTACCCAGCATCTCTCAGAGAGGATGCTGGGATACCCTTGGAATCATAACCTGTCCACTGTGGGTTAAGGTGATAGGTCCCTGTTAAGGGGGAAAGCCTGGCACTACTTCACCTGTAGCCAGGGCACAGGATATGAGGTGTCAGGTGTGGGGAGCCTGGAAGCCATTACCTGTGACAGTCTATGCTGGCCCCATACAACATTTCTGCAACTAAAAAGAGAGGTGGAGAGTGAGAGGTGGAGACTATGTTTTATGTTTTAGTGCCTTTATCAGCACTGATTTCCTGCTCTTTGAACAAGAGATTTCCACATTGTCATTTGCCCTGGGTCCCCCAGTTGTGCAGCAGGGCCCGGACAAGGTTGGGGAGTGTGACGGAGAGTGTGGTGGAGGAACCGGGCAGGAAGGGGATTCCCGGTGGAGGTAGCCATGTGGCAAAGGGCTGGAGGCAAGAGATAGAGGTCAAGGTGGGATGTAGAAAGTGAAGCCACCACATGGAGCATGGAATGTGGTAAGACGGGGAGGCAGCAAGAGGGACAAAGAGGCCACTGGGACTCTGAACCCAGAGGTGGTGGAGATGAATGAAGAGACAGCATTGAGCAACCTTAGTGGCTTTGGTGACTGACTGCATGTGGGGTGGGGATGGGGGTAGGAGGGGGTTAGGGGTCATGCAAGGGTGACACTTGGGTTTCAGGGTGGATGATAGAGCAGATGGTGGTGTCACTTTGCAAGGCAGTTAGAGCCAGTTCAGCTGTGGACCCGCCGGGGTGCAGGTGTCTGTCCACTCATGGGCCATTGGCTCTGCAGGCTGGAGAGTTAATGACAGAGGTTTCCTCGCTTTGATAAATGCCAGGGTAGCCAGGGTGAGAAGGGGTGGGGATGGTGGTGGCAGGCACAGAAGTCTTCCTGAAGTTCAGGTGTGTGAACAGAGACAGGGGTGCTAGCACGCTTGACTGTGGGAGGGACATCCCCTCCAGGTCCCTCTCCTGCTCTTCTTCCATCCAGCATTTGGTGACAGTGGACCTGGATTCCCTGGGGCTGGGAGACCCCCTCTGACTGACTGCTCTATGTCAGTTAGAAGGGCCTAGATCTTCCCTGAACAGAAGAGGAAACTGAGACCCAGGGAGGGCAAGGAGTTCCAGGATACATCGTAGGGTAGGTGAGAGGGTAGCAAGAAGAGAATCAGGGTGCTGGCATCTTGACCAAGTGAACGACATCACACTGGGAGGAGGGTGGACGTGGTGTCTGAAGTCAGCCAGGTTGGAAAAGCAATGTTGTGTGGTGGTTAGGAAATGGTCTTCCAAGCTAGGAGGTATGCTTCTGGGGTCCATGTATGAGGTGCACAATCTTGGACAAGTTGTACAACCTCTCTATTCCCTCGGTACCTTCATTTGGATAGCACTGTACACTTGAGAGAAGTTTCTGGATGAGTCAAGACTTTCAAGTTTGTAGTGCCTTATCTTTCAACCTGAGGAACTTCATCGTGCAGGTCCCAGAGTGCTTCAGAGCCAAGCCTCAGTGCCTTTCCATCCAGAAAGCCCCTGGTCACTGAGATGCCCAGATTGTCCCGGAAAGGGTATAACCTCCCAACAGCTACACCAGAGGATTGTTTAAAATAAAATAAAAAGTCCTCCTCACCCCACCCACCACCTGTCCCTGTTTTCTCTTTAATCCTTCACCTTCTCCAAAACATCCAGTTTATCTGAACAGCTTCCCTAGTCCGTCCTCCCACTCTGCAGTAAGTCACCATCATCCTCGTGAACAGCAATATCTGGGATTGGTCGAGGGCTGGCATCATAGCAGGCCTTGTTCAAATGCTTTCATGCTTACTGTCCGTGAGGAAGGTATGGTATTCTTCTCATTTGTAGAGATGGTAAACTGAGGCTCAGGGCGG